TTTCTTCTTTTCTCGTTCTCTTTCCTTTCCTATTTTCTTTCCTTCTCTTTTCTTTTTCTATTTCCTTACGTTAAATGTCCCTTTTAACCTTTTCTACGTAAAAGTAGAATGTCGGGGTGAACGTAGATCGTGGATCGTAGGGTGGGATTGTGGTTCGAGGAGTGACTTGATTGGGTGGCGTGTGGGTGGTGTGGGGAGGGTGGGTTTGTGTTTTAGAATAGGGTCCGTTTTGTCGGCCAAGAACGAATAATGCGCGTCGATATACGTGATAAATCTGGCGAACGATCGATAAAAAAAGTGTAAACTTATTCCTCGTATAGAGAGTTTAAATATTAAGTTTATATTTTTAAGATATTATTTAATAGTTTTTAAGTTAGATAGCGCGTGCGAAATCCATTAAGAAGTTAATCGTTATATTATTTATTATATAATTTTTCTCTTTTTTTCCTCTTTCACTCTCTCTCACTCTCTTTCTCTCTCTCTCTCACTTTTTCTTTTGCTTCTTCTTCTTCTTCACCCTCTTCTTTATTTTTCTATCTTTATCTACATCTTTATCTTTATCTTGTGTAAAAATTGCCATAAGTAAAACGATAAAGCACGATGATATTCAATCTCACTATCTTTCTCTCTCTCTCTCTCTCTCTCTCTCTCTCTCTTTCTTTCTCTCTTTCTTTCTCACACAAACACAAACACACACATGCACTGATACACATACTTTCATACACTTTTGTTTCTCAAATTTGTATATATATATATATATATATATATATATAAATATATTTCCGTAAGTAGTTCGCATCATCAATAAAAATAAAAAAAGAGAAATGAAAAAAAAAAAAAAAAGAAAAGCAAGAGAAATCCGACTCTATTGCAATGTTATATATGTATACACATATATAATGTATGCGGTGTGATGCATGTCAGTAACGAGAGTTCGATTACTTAAAAATTATATATATTTCAATATATATATATATATATGTTTTTTTTGCAGGTGCAAAAAAAGATCGAACAGACAAAACGATTAATTATTGAAAGTCGATTCTTTTCTTCTTATCATTTCATTACATTTCTCTCTCTCTCTCTCTCTCTCTCTCTTTCACACTTATCTCTATCTCACTCTCTCTCTCTCTCTCTCTCTCTCTCTCTCTCTCTCTCTCTCTCTCTCTCTCATCATATACACATACGAATTCATGTGTTTCTTTCTCTCTCTCTCTTTCTCTCTCTCTCTCTCTCATCATAGACACATATGAATTCATGTGTTTCTCTCTCTCTCTCTCTCTCTCTCTCTCTCTTTCTCTCTCTATCGCCAAAATCCTGAATTCCTTGCAATAATAATTTGTCAAAAAGTCCCTTGAAGGTTTGGCGCTTTTCAAATTTTTTTTTCATCTTTCTCTTTTCACATTCTTATATTTATTTTTTATTTCTTTCCTTTTCTATCTTTTTTTTTTGTTTTTCGTTTATAATTTTGTTCCCTGTATCAAGAAAAATCGACAAAATTTTTACAGCCCTAAATATACTCGTGAAACTTGCACGAATTTTATTTATCCTTTGGCCAAACCTTAAAGGGTAACTTTCTTAATTTTTCTTTCTCTTTCTCTATCTCTCTCTCTCTCTCTCTCTCTCTCTCTCTTTTTTTCCCCCTCTTATCTTTCTTCGTTTGAAAAATTTTGACGAATGATTTATACAAAAATGAAGCTCGACGAGAAGCTCGCGTTGACACTCGGCATACGCGAATGAGACAATAAAAAAGCGTTTTCTTCTTTCTCTTTCTCTCTTTCTCTCTCTCTCTCTCTCTCTCTCTCTCTCTTCCTCTTTCTCTTTCTTTCCCTCTATCTTTTTCTCTTTTTCTCTCTCTCTCTCTACTTCCCTCTCTCTCTCTTTCTTTTTCTAATACCACAACCAACAGAGATTTTTTAATTCTCACTCTCCTCCATCGAAAAAGCTCCCATATCGTTTTTCGAACGACTCAAAAAAGATTTAACGATCGCTTCTTATCATCAAAGAAATAATTGAATTCCTTTTTGTTCTTTCTTTTTTTTTTTCTTTTTTGTTTTTTCTTTTCTTTCCTTTTTTTTTCTTTTCTTTTCTTTCTTTCAAACTTTCTCAAAATACATACATCTTCAATTATATGCACTATTCGTAAGGAATAAAATGAAAAATCGTGTCATCACGTGTGTACGCGTGTATTATCTCCTTCTCTCTCTCTCTCTCTCTCTCTCTCTATCTATCTATCAAACTTGCTGTCTACGTGTGTTTCTTTATCTGCCTGTGTGTATGTGTACGTGTGTGTGTTTGTATACGTTCTTCTTCCTTTCTTTTTTTTTTTTGTTCTTTGTATATGTCGACGATTAGAATAATCGCTAAGGGATTTATCAGAGCTGATTGTACGTCATAAACGACGACATTAATAAATAAATAAATACGCAATAATCTTTCTTTAAAAATGGCATCAGGACCGTATTTATCAATGAGACGCATTAGGCCCAAATCGATTTACTCGAGTACATTCCCGCGTTGTTTTTTTTTTTTTTATCTCTTTCATCCCTTCATATCCATTAATAAATGTATCATGATCGTCGACGAAAAGAAATTTTTTACTTTCGATAAATAAAAAACAAAGCAAAATATAAAACACGCATATGCGAATGATTGATTGATTGATTAGAAATTTTTCTTTTTTTAATCTAATTAAAAATTTCTTTCCTTTATTTTCTTCTTCTTTTTTCTTTTTTTTTTTTTTTTCTCTCAAAGACCTAACAACGACGTTACGTGTTGCGCCTAGGGTCTCGAACATAAGTATAATAAATGCGGCCCTGAAATCGGACGATTCGTAGATTCGTCATAATAAATGACAGTCATTCAAGGGTTATTAAAAACAAAAAAAATTCAAAAAAATAAAAAAATAAAAAAAAGAAGGAATATCCAGTTCTTGCGATCGTAAAACTTTGTCAATAAGTCGACGCTTGAAAAACGCGTAGAAGGTTTGATCGACGGAAGAGGTGCGGGTTGATTGGCTGGGTGGGGGTTGGGTGGGAAGGCGGGGTGGAGGAGCGAGGAAAAGGTGGTAGGAATAGAACTGTCGTTCGAAAGGCGAAAAAAGAAGACGGATGAGAAAGAAAGGAGACAAACGGAAAGAAGTGTGGTACAGAATATACAATCATCGATAGCGAAGGCAACGATATTACATTCAAAACTTGCGTGCACGCGTTATCGCAAATGTATGTATGTATATGTATGTATGTACGTATGCGCACGTATGTATGTATGTATGCATGTCTTTATATATACATATACATACACATATTCATATATATATATATATATATATATACATATGGATGTGTATGTGTATGTGTATATGTATATGTATATGTATATTATATGTATATTAATTATTACAGTATTTACAATAAATGGCAATCGCACGTATTTCTTTTCCCTCCTTTTTTCTTTTCTTTTCTTATTTTTTCTTATCTTTCCTTTTCTTTTATATTCTTGTTGCTAGTTGTTGTTGTTGTTGTTGTTGTTGTTGTTGTTGTTGTTGTTGTTGTTGTTGTTGTTGACGGTAACGTTAATTGGACTAAAAAATCTGCGACAACAATTTTTTTTCTCATTTCTTTTACTTTTCTCTTCTCTCTCAACCACCACACTTTTTGTCCCTTCTGTCAAACTCTTTTGGCCCCCCCTCCCCTCTCTTCTTTTTCTCTATCTTTCCTTTCTCGACCCTCTTTACTTTCTTCTACCTTTCTCCCTTTCATTTTTTCTTTTCTCGTTTATTTCTTACTTCTTTCTATTTTTTTTTTCTTCTTCTTTTTTGTTCTTTTTTTGTTCTTTTTATTTTTCCTTTTTTTTTCTTTTAACTTCTTTTTTTCCCCCATTTATTCTTAATAGTCCATTGGTGCTGGCGCTGCGAATCTCCTCGTTTCTTCGGGAAAAAAAAAACAAAGGATCGTTCTTCACTCTTGCCTCTCCTCTTCGACAAATTGAAAGTGTCTCTAGGTATATGTAATGCATGTATGTATACGTACGTATGTATGTATTTATATATATATATATATTTATTTATTTAATTTAATTTAATTTAATTTAATTTAATTTAATTTAATTTAATTTAATTTAATTTAATTAATTTATTTATTTGGTAATCTTTTTTGTGTTTAAAAACCCCTCACGCACACGCACGGCGTTGTTTAATAAGATTATATATATGTATATACAAATTGTAGCATTGAAACGTCTTTTTTGTCTCCTGTTTATCTTCTTTCGCAGCAGCTTCTTCTTCATCATCATCATCATCATCATCATCATCATCTTCTTCTTCTTCTTCTTCTTCTTCTTCATCTTCATCATTATCATCCACTTCTTCACTTGGCCGCCTTATATATTAGATTTTTGTTGCACAAACATATCGTGTTGCTTTTTTTTTTAAATATATATATACGTGTGTGTATATGTATATATGTATATTTACTTATGAATATATATATATATACACATATACATATATATATATGTATGTGTGTGTGTGTATATATATATATATATAATATGTTTATAATGACTCGCGAACGATTCGCGATGATCTCGTCTCTTTCAAATCGTATCGTGTTTTAAAGAGTCCATTTTGTTATTAACGTTTAGTTTATTTAATTTTTTTTTTCTTGCTCTCCTTTCTTCCTTCCTTTCACTTGTTCCGTCTTGATTTTTGTTTGTTCTTTTATTATTATTATTATTATTATTATTATTATTATTATTATTATTATTATTATTATTATTATTATTATTATTATTATTATTAGTATAATAATTATTATTAATATTATCATTATTATTATTATTATTATTATTATTATTATTATTATTATTAATAATATTAATATTATTATTTATTTATTTATTTATTTATTTTCGTTATTATCCTCGTCGTTTTATCATTATTATTATTTTTTTTTCTTTTCCTTTCTT